AATAAAGCAATATTCACAAGCGAATACTAGCATGCCACAAAACAAATTGGCCTTGAGCATGATTTTATCTGTACAACTAAAGGTTTTAACTATAGAACTATTTCCCTCTTCATAACATGGCACAGCCAGTCAAGATTCCAGTGGGGAAAAAAATAGACTATAATATGAAATTGTACATGGAAATGACAGCACTTCCAGAAACTGATTACAGCATACCAGCTCAGTTAATTAAACAAGTATAGTCCTATAGAACATTTTGGTCAAGTAAGATACATCCAAAAAGCTGAATGTGAAGTACATCCTTACATGTGCTATGTAATTTCTAAATAACCAATATTTGCTTAGGTCAATAATCCTTCATCGGAGCCACATATATCACCATTTACTGTTGTCTGTACGCAGTGACTCCTCTCTACAGAAGTTGATCATAGTGCTTAGCTACTTGCTAAAGGCTGATAAAATTTTTAAACCAGTAATTTTCTCCATTATTTAGGGTGCTTGTAATGTAGTTACATTCACTTTTCAGGATTTTGTTATACAAGTCTGCAAAGACTAAATGTTTGTTTAAATATGTAAGTTACCAGTATGTACTTAAGCCAAGAAACAAAGTAAGATGTCAAGCCACACTTTGCCTATGCTACTGATATATTTGTTCATGTAGAAAATTTCTTTAAGGAGCATCGGTTAAAAAACTAAAATCCATATTTTAGAGCCCATTTCATTTTGTTGAATATTCTTGTCTGAGGTTTTGGGTAGAAGGAGAATTACATTTGTAGGTTCCTTTCGTAGCAACATCTGTTTACTCTGTGCTTCACGGCAAATATTTTCATTTCAACTACCATTCATTTCCTCTGCATTTAGCCATATCTTTGCTGCACGGATACATTACACTGAAATCTCTGATGTGTTTGTTTAGCTTTGCATATAACACTGCTAGCATAAATTAAATTTATACTAGACTTTTAAGGAAAGGGGACTAGCATAAAATGTGCTGACATTATGTAAAATGCAGCCATGCTTATACTCTAGATTTGATACTGCAATTTTTTACAATTTACTATGGAACATTAAATTGTAAAAAGTTTAGTCCAATTTTCCTCAGGATTATATCCTCTTGGTGACCACTGGTTGCTCTGCAGATTGCAACCCTTGGAAAGAGTTACCACCACCAATTTTCTTTCCAAGAGAAGCAATTTCCAGACATTAAAAAAATAAAGCATAAGTTTCACATTCATTATTAAAAAACTGTCAAAGCAGTGACTTTATCATACTAAAAAACTCTAGTGACTTTGCATTTCTCTTGATACAGGTAGATTTGTGCTAGTTAATTTTAAAGAACAAGTGTAAAGCACCCATTTCTTTGGTGGAATGCTTTTCTCAAGGTCTCCTTAATGTTACATTTTTTGTTTATTTTCCATTTGGATTCATTTTAAAACAAAATTAAAATAATATTTAGCCTGGCTGCAATAGCCCAAACATTCTGGAAGTTCTGCAAAACCATAATTTTAAGAGCTTAGTGTGGAAGTATTTTAAGTGATGCGGTTAGATCTATTGTCAATTTCAAATCAAAACAAGCTGCAACTGGCATTTTCAGCCTTACCTGGGTGCAGAAAGGATGAAAACTTCCCTTTATACAGAGTAAAGTACAGTGGTGTGCAATAGCTGTCAAGAAACTCCTGAGAACGACATTTTCCAAGGTATCTTACGAACCACAGCTATTTGTTTTCTGACCTGGGTGATAGCATTATCATTTCACAGCTATTTAAACATTTTTTTTTACTAGTCAGAAGTCAGTATATTAAGCAAAATAGTAGAAAACTACAAATCAATAATCAGAGAGGTAGCTGTGTTAGTCTGTATCCACAAAAACAATGAGGAGTCCAGTGGCACCTTAAAGACTAACAGATTTATTTGGGCATAAGCTTTCGTGGGTAAAAACCCACTTCTTCGATGTGGTTTTTACAAATCAAGACAATCTAATGTCACGCACAGAATTAGCAGATTGCCATGGAGCACACAGAACTGAGTGATATAATCACTCCATTCAAGTTTCACTTGTCATTTTTCAGGCAATTGGACCCCTTAGTAGGCTCCGAAGTTTAACAGGAAAAGTTAAGATTGAGAGTAACTGCCTAAGGTGGCTCCAAGATATAGTGAGATTCTAACAGCACATTTCAAGCCCTGAGCAATTATTGAATACATAGAATATTTATGGCTAAGTGAACAGAAAACAGGCATTTATTTAATAGGTAGAAAAACAAGGCATCGGAATGAGTTCCTGGTCTGATGAATTTGGATATCAGATGATATCCAAAAAAGGCCTTATTTCCATCTGTGAATTTCAAGTTCACTTGATAGAGTGCTCCCGTTCTGTTCACTCTCTCTAAAGCATCTGTCACTTGGCATTGTCAGGGCTAGATGGACCCTTGCGCTGACCTACTATGGCCATTCTTATAAGTTAGTGTAATTATCAAATCTAGCATAAGAAAAATAGTTGGTTTACTATACCAATTTAAATAAGGATTCAAAATAGAAAAAAGTATTTTGAAAAGGTTATATTTCAGCTGATACTCTAAAAACAGCACAAATGGTTCATAAGATACTATCAGCATCAGTAGAATAAAACATTGAAGAAATAATGGGTACTGGTAGATAGGATGTGGTAATAAAAATATAGACTCTAATATACATCTTCTAGATAGTCCTCAAATCTTATTACAGTGCAGTCTATGCTACTTTCACAAGCTATCAGTTAATACTATGCATGAGTGAATACTGGCAAGTTAATAGTCTGCTATTTTAGAGTCTACATTAATAACTTAAGAAGCTCTCCATTTACACATTATAACAAAGATCATCCGAGATACTGTATTACACCAATGAGATTAATTTTCCGCAAAACGGTCTTCAATAGTTTTATTTCTGAGGTATGTTAGAGTCTTCAAGTTTTATCAGCCTATTATAAAAGAGTACATTTGTGGTAAAGGATTAAAACTTTGCTGTTTTATAATCTATACTGGATACTACAACCACTTAGTGTACATCTATAATTTTGATGTATTAACCACTTGTACATGCATACAGATTCATAGAATTTATGGCCAGAAGGGACAATTGTAATTTAAACTGACCTCTGGCAGAGCACAAGCCATTAAATTTCACCCAGTAATACCTGCATTAAGCCCATAACTTGTGGCTGAGCTAGAATATATATTTTAGAAAAGTCTAAGTCAAGAAAGGATGTCTTAAGTGATAGTGAATTCACCATGCCCCCAGTAAATTGTTCCAAAGGTCAAATACCTTATTGTTAATATTTGCACCTTATTTCTAGCCCAAATTTAACTTATTTCAGCTTCTAGACCTTGAATCTTGCATACAGAATATGCACATCTCACCAAGTTTATGAGTTGTGCACGGCATATGAATTTAGGGTAGTATATAGACCTAGTGTTATTGTTGACGACTCTGTATTCTGCTACTAGGTTGAACTCTATTCTCTATATTCCAAGGCTGCTGCTAAACAGTGTCTCAAGTTCCAGATCAGAGTTTTATGCAACAATAGATGTTAATCATTTCCAAAACACTGACATTCATTTGCTCAGTTGGTGTTAAAATGGTCTGTGTGCGAAATTGCAAAGTATCGCTGGATTGCCATACTGGGAAGTTGTGTGGTTTGTAAGATAACAAAACTGCTATCATTAAAGGGCTAATATTTCCATTATGAGTTGCATTTGTGGAAGCATTAATGACCTTCATAACAATTCACCCTGGGCTGAATCTTAGCCTTTGAGAGTTGAGCCCATGAGAACTTTTTGCTTAGTCACAACTCACCTGCTTCTTTTTTAGTTCCAGGAAGGTAAAAACAGTTTGAGGGTCTGAGCTTTCACTAAATAAACTGACTCCACTAGCCAAAATGAAATATGGTGGGCAGTCAATCCCTACATTGGGCTAACTGTGTTATTTGCAGAATAGTTCCAAACCACTGAAGTATATTTCGTATGGGATAGCTAATTTTTCAAACGTTAAAAAACTTAACTACACTTCAGTTTGGTTATCACTGGCAACTAACTATGGAGCTGCAATGACGTTCTGTCAAATTTTCAGTTCTACACATCTCCATTACATATTGTGTAAAATATCTATATGCCATATGCACTGTAGTAACCAGTGTCAAAGATACATTCCGCTTTGCTTCAAGGGATCTCCAGCATTCCATTAAGCGTTAATTTAAGATTGAAAAAGCTGAGGCATTCACAAAGAAACTTTAGCCTCAAGATAGCAAATTAAGAGTGCATTTATGGTGTATGGTCACAAAGCCTTAGAAAGCATTAGGGCCCCTAACTCCTCCTGTTGCACTCAGGTATTGTAGCTCATGCTGTCTGAAATACCCCACCACACAGCAGTATCTAGGATATACCATAAGGGGAGTTAAGGACTAAGTGACAGGCTTCCCCATAACATTGTCTTGCTCTGTCAGTTTAAGACACAAACCAGAGATTGTTTTAATGCAATCTATTATCCATTTTACTTTATTTCTGCCAGCAGCTGATGTTTCCATGGGAATGCAGTCACCGTGCTGGGAAACAAAGCAAGAAGGAATCAATACTAGTCTCCAGGTGAAAGCACCCAGATTTTTAATCATATGTTAAATCTCCTGGAGTGTTTCCAGTGCTAACCCGTGTCAGTGCCACAGCCAGAGAGTTTTGAAGCCCTTAACAAACTAGTTACTGCAAAACCCACAACAGCAAGATTTTAAACTTAAGTTACTGCAAGAAACAAGAACCTGACACATAGGGCTTGATTAGCATAGAAGCAGGATCAGAGCGGCTATAACTTCGGAAAGGTTCCTCCCCCTCCCTCCTGCAAACGTGAATCTGTGCTTGATTATTTAAGCTGTTAGGACTGTGCGGGCTCAGAGTCTGCACCGATATGAATCTGCAGGGAATCTCACCAAGAGCGCTCCTACAAGTACTCTCGAAACCTAAGTGTGTGTTACTTACAGTCTCTCTGCATTCCTGGGAATACCCCGTGGCACGGTTTTCAGTCCCAGTCCATGACAATCCACGTTGGAGGCAGAGCAGGTACATTTATTGGGGCATCCTCCAACAGGCATCCAAGCTACGGAGCTCCAGAAGCTCAGGATCACTCCCAGCCACAGGGATGCACGACTCCCACCGAGCAACATGGTCTCCGTATCCCTTCCCCAAAGGGTGCAAAAGGATGCAAGGGCAGCCAGTCCTCAGAGGTGGAAAACCCCAGCGACAGAGAGTGCAAAGGGCTGCGAGGGGCTCTCAACACAGCCCGAGAGAGCCCACTTCTCCCCGCATCTCCGCTCGCACTCCTGGAGTCCTTGGAGCACCACCCAATCTTCCAGGGAGATCTGGGGGGAGGGTTATGTTCCGTGGTGCCTTTCAGCCTTTCAGGTTTCCCAGTGTTATCTGACCGGCACCAGCAGGCGAGGAGTTTAGCAGCGCTCCAGCCAGAGGAGTCCGCAGATGAAAGAGGAGCAGGGAGTGAAGGTAAACAGAGCTAACCATCCATCAGGGGTTTCGGCAAGCAGCCCCCGCCCCACTCCGCATCGCCCAACCTGGCAGGGCAGGTAACCGCTGGGGGAGGCGATGGCGGAGATCTCAGAGCGCTCCAGCGGCCAGCTGCTCAGTCCCTGGCTCCTGCACCTTCGCCGCTCCCATGCCAGGCCAGCCTCGCTGGGGGCCACCGCTGTGCAGAGCCGCGGGATCGGAAGGCACTGGACGCGGCTCCCGCGGCGGCCGCCTTCCCATTCACTGCGCGCAAGGCGGCCAGGCAGACACCAGAACCACGGGGGCCACTCCGCCCCCCTCTCCTCCCAAAATATCCAGGCCAGCTCTCATTGGCTGCCGAGCCCCTGACGTCGGCAAAGTTCTGAACTTTGGGGGGAAGAGAGGCGGTGGAAGTGTCGGACTTGGAGCGGCCCCGAGCCATGGCCATTGTCCCGTGCGCTCTGCCGGGCTCTGCGCGCCGGGCGGCACCAGGAGGGCGCGCTCTCTGCAGCAGAGCGCAGGGGGCAAAGGTAAGGGCTCTGCGGCGGCCCCTGCCGGTGCAGCACTGCGGCTTGGGGTCCCCTCGCTGGCAGCGGCCCCGGATCGGGGTTCAGACAGGAACGTGCAGGCTGCAGCAGCGCCCCCAAACCGCCCGACGCTTCCGCGTCCTACCCACCGGCCCCAACTTTCCCCCTCACCAGGGGCAACTCGCCGCCTCCTTTTGTTGCCTTCTGTTCTCTCTCTCGTGCTGCCCTCTGGTGGTGAGAGAGGCGCATAGCGCCTTCTCGCTGCTCGCAGGGACGCCTGCGAGTGACAGGGAATTTGCTCCTCTGCTCAAAGTACGCCGAGTGCAGCAGGCGTGGGGTTTATTCCAGCCCCCGGAACGGGAGATGGGACTGACCTGTCTGACCTATAAGACAGTGCTCCTCTACTGCTTTCTGCCTTTATCACTCCTTGGTGCCACAGGTAGTGTTTAGTCCATAAATGCAGTGTGTTAACCCTGCAACAGCTAGTCTAGGTGCTTAAGCTGTATTTCCTGGTATTCGGGGCCAATTGTAGCGGGTAGCAATCAGAGCAATTGCCCTGGATCGCATGCCACAGCTCTCCTTCCCCCTGCCCCAGTTGCATTATATCTACGGAGTGACTGTAGGTAAATGTAATGCCAGTATTACAGCAATTTCACCTCTAAAAGGGGAAATAACTCACATTAAAGCAGAGGATTTCACGCTGTGGGGCCTGCCTCCCAAGGGGGTGTGGAGGGGCCCTGGGGGCTGCGAGCAGGTTTCAGGGACTCTGTCAAGCATGGCCCGCATTAGACTTGCTAGAGCCCAGGCAGAAACCGAAGCCCTGCCACACAGTACTCCAGCCCGGGGCACTGAGCCCCACCACCTGGGCTGAAGACAAAGCCTGAGCCACTTAGCTTTGGGGAGCCCCCTTTGGTGTGGGGCCCCAGGCAATTGCCCTGCTTGTTATTCCCTATGGCAGCTCTGGCTTTTATATACATAAAAATAGTTGTCATGGTACAGCTGGGCTATGGAGTTTTTATAGCATGTTTCCAGGGGGGCGGGTGGAGAGGGGGGCTCAGAAAGAAAAAGGTTGAGTATTCCTGCTCTAAGACACCTAGGCCTCAACCTGCTAAAATTACATCCAGAAATGAATGGGCGGTGAGTGCACACTAGTCTAAAGGAGTGGCCTTTATATAGCTGCAGAAAGGGCAAGTGGATTCAGGTCATGCATATGAGGGATGTGAGCTATGTAAATGCCTAGAGGCAGGTAAGGGACTCAGGCATCAGCACCTGAGCTGGCTGCTTTGTGTCCCCTCAGCCTGCCAAAGATCACAGAAAGTTGCCTTTGAGAAAGAAAGTGTTCGGGCAGCTCTACAGCACTTGAACCTCAACTGGCCCTCTCCACAAGGTCACCACAACATACTTTTAACCTACTTCAACAACAGTAGATGGCAGCAGCACAACTCCTCCCATTGTTAGTCTCCTGTAGGACCAAGATCAGCACTAGTTACTGCCATGTGTCACCTGCAGAGTCCTGACTACCCACCTCTTTTCCATGTTTGCTTGCAATGTCAAAAGCTCAGCTGCAGTTGTGTCAGTGACACTTATCTGTATCTCTCCTCCCATGCAAGCCCCAGCACTGCTAAAGTGACAGTCTACGGGAGATTAGCTCCCTGATGAACAACAGCTGTCTCAAATGCAACCCAGGCAGGATTAATGAGAAAAGTGCTCTGAATAACCAGCCAAAATGCTGTTTCCTCCTCACCAATAAGAGCATAGAGCCTCCATTGGTCAAAGTGGTGTGAATTCTCAGGTTCCTGGTTGACTCATCACTGTGCTTGGATGACCAGACAGCACTATCTCAGAATGCCTTTTCACCTCCAGTTGACTAATAAACTTCACCCATTCTTTCCAGATGAGGACCTGGCCACAGAGAAGTGTTCACAGATCACCACCAAATAGGATTACCGTATTCACTGTATCTGACACTGAATATATAAATCCAAAGGCCAATACCAGTGTGGCTGCTTTCCATCTTCATGATTTAATCTATTGTGAGCATAACTCCATATGCCAATTGCTTCTATTAACCTCCAATCTCCTTCCAACAGCAGTGCAAGGGGTTTGATCCTAATCTTGAAAGCTATTAGTGGATCAAGCCCCATCTCCAGTAAAAAGCCAAAATTAGGTCAGGGGACTTTAGATGAATTCAGGAGCTGATCACCTTCAGAAAATGTTTCCTCCAATAAATACTTTCCACCATATCAATTACGACATTAACATCCTTCTTTACTCTTCAACCTTCTCCCCCAAAACAAACAAAATTAACTCCACAAACCACCAAAATAAATAAAAAACCCACAACAGGTCTAAGTAAACCAAAGGAGATGGCCAACAGACAACTGAACCAAAACCCAACTGTTTCTACTCCCAATATAGTTTAAAGAGACACACTCCATCAAAGCCACCAAGAACAGTTACTTTAATTGGGAAGTATTCAGGTACTGTGGGTGACAGTATTAAGCACTACAGTAGTAGTGCTGCACTCTGTTATTTGTGGAGCCATTATTTCTTTTCTCAAATTTTGGGACACTTGAGCAGATTGCAAAAGGTTGAAAAAAGTATCAATTTCAAGAATTTTAGTACTCTAGTGTGGAGGAAGTGAAGACTTTACTCAGCTGGACTTTTTACTATTGTCAATTGCTAGGAACTGAAAAAAAGGCATAGACCTTCTATGTGGTTCATCTTGTTTAGTATCCGATGTGACAGTGGCCAGTATCACATGCATCAGAAGAAAGTGTGAGACACTATACCCTTGTGGCGTAATATGGCCAGAAGGGAAGTTTCTTCCTACAGTGG